CCTCTCTCCTTTTTTCTTTCCGCTCGCTCCGAGCGCATCGTTTGTCAGGCCTCCCAAAAACCAGACCAGAAATTTTGCGCATGTAAACGTAGCTACTGGGCCCTTGATTGTACGTTATTACAACATGTTCTACTCACCCATATTAGTTTTGTGTCATTTGGAGCCGTTATTTGGTTAGGTTATATCCACAGGTGGAAAGTAACGAAATACATTTACTCAAGTTACTGTACTGAGTAGGTTTTTTGTGTATTTTGTATTTTTCAAGTAGTTTTAAAATCGGTAATTTAAATTTTACTTGATTACGTTTTGAGTAAAGTACAGTATTGTATTTCGTTACATTACATATCCGTTACTGAGTAAAAAAAAACTTTGGAAAACCGAAAGGAAGACAAAAAATCGGGCCCAGAAGCACTACAGTGAGTGACGTGATCAGCATGTAGATCTAGGCTACCAGGCACCAAGTCTTTCTGTAGGAGATTGGGAACGAGATGGAGGTGGATCAGGAGAGCGATGACGGTTCAGAGAACGTTTCACTAGAAATGCTAGCTGAAACATCAAATTCTGCTGCCCAAAACAACGAAAATCCTTGGCCACATTTGAAAGACTGCTTTTCTTTTAAATTCAAGAGGGCCAACAGCATCATCATGCAATGCCAGATGTGTCTGCCAAAGGTGACTGAACTGGCAGCATTCAATAACTCCACATCTAATCAGCGGAAGCATGTTTTGGTAAGTATTTAGTGCATTGGTACTTCAAACAAAGTTTTCATGACTAACAGCCAATTAGCAAAACAACCAGTTTCATGGCATTGCTAATTTTGTCAAGCACAGGGGTCGGCAACACGCGGCTCCGGAGCCGCTTGCGGCTCTTTCATCCTTATACTGCAGCTCTGAGTGGCTTGGGAAAATAAATTGCTAAAAAAAACAACTAAGTATTTCATTTAAGTCAATATTTCCCGCAGCACTATCTTGGCGAGGCGGCCGTTTTATGTTGTTCTTGCATTTGTATAGTGCTTCTTAATAACTGTTGTTAATGTTAGGGATTTTGGCCGATATCCGATATGCCGATATTTTAAAACTCATGTAGCCGATAACTGATATTGATACCGATGTTAAAGCTGGACAAAAATAAGTAGTCATTGAAAACAGCAGTTTTATTATCCATTTCTGACACTTTGAAAAATAATATACTCAAATATATTTTCATATGCTGATATCAAATTGATTTTTAAAAAC